GGGCCTTCCCTCACCTCTTACATCTCTCTTGCTCTCTCTTTCCCAGAGGGGCTCCGAAGGGCCCCTTGAGCAAGTACCTTGGTTCACATTCATCACTTAAACCATTGATTTGTCCATCCTTTGTCCCTCCACCCATCTGCCCACACACATCTGTTTACAAATTTGCCAACAATCTTACTAGTCTCAATTGTCTATTTGTCCTCCAATCTACTCATGTATTTACCTTTTCTTCCTCCCTCCCTCACTTTCTTTCTCATCTGTGGGTTGTCTTTTGATAGAGGGTTTAAAGTAACCCAGGCTTGCCTCTCACTTTCTTTCTTTCTTTCTTTTTGTTTGTTTCAAGACAGGGTTCCTCTGTGGAGCCTTGTGTGACCTGGACTCACCCTGTAGATCAGGCTGGCCCCGATCTCACAAAATTACTTCTGCCTTTGCTTCCCAGAGATTACAGGCACGAATCACCATTCCTTGCTATCCTCTAACTTTCTAAGTATTTGAAGGTGTCTTTTAACCCTTGGTCTTAATTCTTCTGTTAAAAAAGTACTGAGATTCCAGGAGTAACCTACCACACTTGGCAATCCATTTGCACTTTTACATTTTATCTCCGCAATTGTTTTCACTTATCAGAAATGATCCATTCATCCACTTGGATATCTATTTATCTGTCCCCATCTACTTTGTCTGTGAGCCAATCAACCTGCATCTAGTCTATATCCTCATCCACTCACCTGTCCAACTACTTGTCCAGTTATCTGTCCCTCCAATCAATCAACTCCCTAGTCATTCTTCTACCCTTTAACTAATTAATTCATCCATTCATTTACTTATCCACTCATCTGCCCATACTTCCATTTGCTCAGCTGTCAACCTGTTCTTATGCTTCCCCACCCACAGGGAACTTTGGGACCATAGGGGGGGAAAGTTCTCACTTGAATCCACTTGGTGCACCAATATCTGCTTTACTGATCTTCTTTTTTCCTGAGCGTTTCTTATCAGCTGGGCCAGGGCCAGGTGCAGGGAGGCCACGGTATCGTGAACTTGTAATGTCAGGGTTCTGAATGTTGACTGTCACAAGTCCTAGAGATAGTGAACCACCTGATGGGCCTGTGCAAAAAAACAATGTCAATGAACCACTGACTAACTTGCCTACTACAAGCCAAAGCATGGGGACAAGAAATAGAATGACTACTGGAGAAGTGTGTGTGTATATGTTTGATGGTTATGGAGGAAATGGATGACAGGAATCTAAGTAAGGCCTATGGAGCGGTAGATGGATTCCACCCAAAAAGCACTCAGAGAGTGCTCATCATTCCAGTACTGACTCGTTCATTCTCTGGCTCATCGGCTAAATGGTTTATTAAGTTAATAAGTTAATCTTTTACTATTATGTGTGTATACACACATGCAAAGCACATGTGTGGGGGTCAGAGAACAACTTTGTGGAGTTGATTCTCTCCTATCTTTATGTGGATTATGGGGATAGAACTCCGGTCTCTAGGCTGGGTGGCAAGAGCTGAACAATCTCACCAGCCCTCATTTGTTTCTTTATTCACTATACATATGTTTCCATGCCCACTCATCAATTCACTGAACCATCTATGTAATAGAACCATCAAGCAATACTTACCTTTAATACAAGTAAGTATTCATCCATTTACCCAAATATCTGTTTACCTACAATCTAGCATCAGTCCATCTCCCAACTTAGTCATCTATCTGCTACCAACCCATCAACCTTCTCATCTGTCCACTCATCCACCCATCCTCCTAATCATCCATCCACCTCTTGATACATTTATGGATTCACCCAACTACTCATTCATCCACTAACTCTCCAGAGACATGAGAGTCACCACTCACCCCCATGGTCTCCACCTGGATGTGGGGGCAGAGGTGGGAGCCGTCCTCTTCTCTCTGGGAGAATGTAATGAGTTAGATCTGTCACAATCTGTCATGAGTTTCTGGGTTACCTCTTTATAACCTCTACTTGCACTAGAGGACTCACCTTCATTGGTTGGTGCTGGTGGTGGTGGTAGCTGGCGTCTTTCTGTGGTTTAACAGAGGGACTGAGAGCCATGACATTGGCTTTTCTAGCCTCACAGCCCTGCACTCACCTCTGTCTAACCTATCTCCCCAACCCCCACCAAGGCCTTTGTACCTCCACTTAGCTTCTGATTTCTTTTTTGTATCTTCTCTTGCACCAAGGACTGGAAGGCCTGGGCTTCACTCTCGTCGGCAAAGTTCAGTCCTACTTGGCAGTCCTATATATACCTTGGGGTCAGCAAACTTGTAACACTCCCCACACCCACCCCAGACTTTCTCATCTCCTCCCTACACCCCAACTGCAGCCCAAGGATTGGCTACTCTCTTACATTTCCTTCAAAGGTGTGGAAGAAAGGGGTAGGAGTGAAGTAAACCAGCTGGGTGTACAGCTCTTGTTCCCAGAGTAACCGACGAGCCTGGAGAGAAGAAAGGGGGAGGGGGACCATGCTGGCACTCAGGCACTCTCAGTGACAGACCTTTGTTTTCTGACCAGGGAGCATGGTGTCCAGATTTGGTGTCCCAGATTCTTATTTAGAGATCTTCAACTCAATATCAGAGTTTGAGGTCTAGGTGTCTGATGTGGAGGATTGGGGTACAGTCTGAGAATCAGACACTGATGTGAGGAATTTAGGTTTTGGGTCCAAGGCTTATATGGAGAGGTTGAACACTCCAAACTGTGAACTGAAGCTCCTAGTCCTAGAAGTAGCCAGCATGTTGGATTTAGAATAGATCTGAGGCTGAGGTTCAGGTATAAATATGGTGCTATGGGGAAGTTTGTGGAGCAGATCAAGACCTTAAGTTGGACCTTCTGGGTTCAGTCATCTCAGACTCAGAATGAGAAAACACAACTTGGGATCTATGTTGATCTTTGGTTCTAAAGCTCAGGGCTTCACTGATATGAACAAGGGCTTGGGGCTATGGACAAAAACTGGCTTTGCAGGTAGGGAACTAGCTTTCCTGTCCAGTGGGGCATGAAGTCACCTGAAGGCCATAAAGACGGATGAAGTAGGACTTCTGAGGGTTATCCTTCACGAAGCAAACAGCCCCGCAGTGTTCCATGGTCCAGCGCTCAGCTCCAGGGGGCAGTGCCAGGTAGAGCTGCACAACTGCAGTGGCCAGTGTCTAGGAGAAGTGAGCAGGGGGTCAGTGGAGTCTGTTCATGAGTATCCAGGCCTGGTCCTTGCTTGCCTGCAGCTGTCATGAGCTTGGGGAAAGAGCTATAGCCAGGAGGAAGATGTGTTGATGTCAGAATAATCCTGGGATTCACAAACTATGGTGAGTGAATCCTGGGAGAGATGTGTGTGTGTGTGTGTGTGTGTGTGTGTGTGTGTGTGTGTGTGAGGGGTGATGAGAAGGAGGAGCGGGGAAGTATAGGTAAGAGGAGGAAGCAGAAGGGATAAAATAGGTAGAGAGGAAGAGGAGGAAAGGGAGGGAAACTGAGAGGACCAAGAGATCCCCAACTCACCCAGCATTTTCGGCCAAGCAGCTCAAAGAGTCGCTGATTTTCATGTTCCTGGAGGAGGTTGGACGGAATGTTCTGCTGAACCCCTGGTCCCCCTCTGCCCCCAGGCCTGCCTCCTACAGGGCCACCACTCATGGTGCCTTCTGCCCTAGTCCTCTCCAGCTGAGCTCTGGTTGCAGGGTAAGATGAGGAACTTCCGCAGTGAGCAAGGGAACAGGAAGTGCAATAAACCACAAGGGAAACAAGTCCTCCAGGGCCCCCCAGAGGGCCTGTCCTCTTCTCTAGGGCTGGCTTGGGCCCTCCTCCATTTGCTTGGCTAGATCCATGTTTATAATGAGCTCAGGGCTTCCTTTTTCCTTTCTCTTTCTTTCCTTCCTTTCTTCTCTCCCTCCCTCCCCCGCCTCTCTCTCTCTTTCTCTCTCTGTTCTTTCCTTTCTCTGTGGGGCCATTTCCTTCTGACAGGCTCAGATCTGCCTTGCTCTAGTCAGTACTGAGAGAAAGCTAAGCCATTTGGAGCTGCAGGGTGGCTGCGCAGGGAGCAGTCACAAGTCTCTTGTAGCCTCCTTCCTCCCCAAAGCACAAAGTTGGCCTGGAGTTGAGTCCAAGGCTCCAGGTGCTGAAGGATCATTGCATTTACAGCTTTGCCTTTTAATGGAACAGTGAACCTATCTCTATCATTGGATAGCCAACGATTTAGAAGCCCGTGACTCACTTCCCCATCCTTTATTCTTGCCTCCTGGAGCTCCCTAATTACTTTCTTCCTATCAACTCCATTCTGGAAGGAAGGACTTTCCAGGCTCAATAAATACTAAAAACAATATCTTGATTAATTTTCATTTTGTTGGGACTTCTTGAAGGTATGTGACTTTTGAAGGCTTGATTTTATTCACTTTTGATGATGAAGATGGGATACAGGGCCTTTTTCATGCTAAGTATATGCTGTACCACTAAGCTGTACCCTTATGCCTTCTAATTCCACTGCCTCATGGATGAAGCAGGCCATTTGGTGTGTATATGATATGGGGGTATTAGGAGTGGGTAAAAACTCTGAATTGGAGATCTCCAGGAAATCTCTTGTCTCTCTGCCTGCAGGTATAAGGTCTCAGCTCCTGAACTCAGGCTCAGAATGCCTTTTGAAATTAGTTCCTCCAACTTCCTCCAACCTCTAACCTCTTCTCCAAATGCACAGAGCTATTCAATAGTCACAGGAAACCCAGTGGGGAAGGAACAAATGTTATATAAATTTTCCTGGTAGGGAGCCTGCTCTGGTTCCAAAGCTTGGGAGCAGTGCACTGAGGCCAGTTCTGTGAGAAATGGTTCCTAGACTCTTAGGAGCCACCCACAGGCTAAGATAAAATTTTCCAGCTCTGGGGTCTTGAGAGATTGGTTGGTAGTTAAGAGCATTGGCTGCTCTTCCAAATAACACCCTCCTGACAGCTCACAAGCCTCTGTAACTCCAGTTCTAGGGGATCCAATACCCTCTTCTGGCCTCCATGGACACCAGGGACACACATGGTGCAGAGGCAGATGGAGGCAAAATACTCACATGCATGAAAATTAAAACCAACTCTCAGCCAGGCGAGGTGGCACACGCCTGTAATCCCAGTACTCTCGGAGCCAGAGGCAAGTGGATCTCTGTAAGCCCAAGGCCAGCCTGGTCTACAAAGTGAGTCCAAGTCACACAGGCTACACAGAGAAACCCTGTCATGAAAAACTAAAACAAAAACTCTTTTGCTCCTGCTATGTTTTTCATTCTTCATCTCATTACTTCTGTAATAAGAAACCCAAGAACTGCCCCCTTTACATCACATAAAGTTAAACATCCTTGCTTCTTCTGCCAGTTGGTATTTATTTGTTTGTTTGTTGGTGTTGTTTTTGAGACAGGGTTTTTCTGTGTAGCACTGCCTGTTCTGAAATCACTCTGCAGACCAAGCTTGTCTTGAATTCACAGAGATCCACCCACCTCTACCTCCTGAGTGCTGGGATTAAAGGTATGTGCCACCATACCCTTTATGTTTCTGTTTTTATTTATAAGTAGCAGACAGATTTAAAATTTATACTTTTTTTTCTTAAAAAACAACAAAAAAAGAGAAAACCTAAAGGCCCCAATTCTCTGGAATATAATTATTTTAATATCATTCATCATATTGTCCATATTATTGTGTTCTTCCACTGACTTGCATAAATACCTTCAAACTGCTTTATTTTAATCTCTGCTCCCTATTCGCTCTTGTTGTTCTGTACTTGCTCAGAACTTGAGGAGATGGCACCTTTAAAGGCAAGTTGCTCTCTTGGGCCTTAAGATAAATTTTGAAAAGCAAACCTTAGTCCAACTTTTCTGCTTGTTCTGGATTGGACAGGTGGTCTTAATGCAAGTCAGTCCATCACAGCTGGAACCAGAATTTCTACATCATTTCTTAGTAATAGCAGGAACCCCAAAGAAATGAACACACCACTTGAAGCTCCAGTATCACCTCCCCCTCCCTGCCCCCAAGGCCTCCGAGTAGAGAACTGCTTCCTGTTTTGATTTTTGCATCGGTTGATTTCTTTCTTTATTTTTACTTTATTTTGGTTTCTCAAGGCAAGGTTTCTCTGGGTAGCCCTACGTGTCCTGAAACTTTCTCTGTAGACCAGGCTGTCCTCAAACTAACAGAGGGCCACCTGCCTCTGCCCCAGGGTGCTGGTATTAAAGGTGTGTGCCATCCCAGCTTGGTTGGATTTTGCTGTTTTTGATTTGTTTTGTTTTGTAGTAGATTCTTCTTGGATAGCTCAAGTCGGCTCAGACTCACAATGATCCTCAGATTCCCAACTGCTGAGATTACAGATGTGTGCTACCATGCCCAGCTTGTTTCCTGTTTATAGCAATGGGTTGTACTTAGTTTGCTTTATAATTGGCCTTCCATACCTGTGAATTTAATCGAGGATTTAAAATATTTGAAAGATAGAGTAAATGAGAGAGAGAGGGAAAAAAAAACCTGCTTCCATATTAAATAAGGTGTGAAGGAGAATTCTTGGAAAGAAGTTGTGAATCCAGAGACTGCTTGACTAACAAAACTGCAGAGACAGCTATCACCTTATCTTGGGATGGTTTTAGCTCCTGGAGAGGCTTGCCCACCTTGTGCCACCTTATGTCAGAAGTAACATCCTGTGATTAAAAGATAAAAACCTTTGCCGTCTGTTGACATAGCAGACTGCTAATTTCTACCTACTTAAAAACAAGGAATGCCATCATATAGGATCTTGGGCCTTTAGAAAAGCTTCTCCCACCTTGATGTAACTGCTTCTCTGATGCAATGTATTTTAAACTTGTCTTGATCTACCACTATCATTGTTCTATAAAACTAAAAAATGTGATGGAACTACTTCTACATTGGAACATGAAAGTTGGGGTAATCTAAATCTGTGTTCCCAAGCCATGGTCACTCAAGATAGCTCCAGAATAAAGCATCTCCTATTCTGTTTAAAATGAGAGCTATGGTTTTTCCTGTTGATAATGGGCAGATATTTGTATTGACATCACTCCAACAGAAAAGCAACACTGCAGAAACTATTTACAGAGCATTTTCATTGTATCAAGTATCATAGACAATCAACAAAGGATTTGAAGTATACTGCAGGATATGAGAAGGGTATATGTAAATGCTGTACCATTTTATACAAGAGATACACAGTTGAGGAGATGGGTATCTGCAGGAGCAGGGCCATGGAACTAAACCACTAACAAACACCAAGGGAGGAGTCAAGTATGGTGGTATACTGTATGCAACATAGCATTCAGGAGGCTGAGGCAGGATGAGTGCCAGGAATTTGAGGACACCCTGGTCTGTGCAGTAAGTTTCAGACCAGCCAAGGCTCTATAGAGTGAGACTTTGTGTTAAAAGAAAAAAATCAAACAATGATTATATTTTGTAAAGATGTTGCCCAAAAGACCCTGGTCCCAAACCTCAAGCCCTGTATCTTACACAATCTAGTTCTCACCACATGACTGAATCCATATTGGAGAACTAGGCATGGGGAGGGGCCAACTATTGTTTCTTAAGAACCAATTGAGGTAGCCAAGCATGGTATTACACACCTTGAATTCTAGTACTCAGGGGCAGAGGCCAGCCTGGTCTACAAATGAGTCCAGGACAGTCATGGTTACACAGAGAAACCCTGTCTCAAAAAATAATAATAATAATAAAGAAGAAGAAAGAAAGAAAGAAAGAAAGAAAGAAAGAAAGAAAGAAAGAAAGAAAGGAGGGAAGGAAGGAAGGAAGAAAAAAGAACTAGTTGAAGCTGAGATGGCAAATTTTACTACTTAGGTGTTTCCTAAAGCCAGGGACAAGTGGGTATTTTAGAAGCCCTAAGTCCTGGTTGGGCAAGTGGAAACTGAGTATGCACAGAACACATCTGTAGAAACAAGAATGACTTGTGCTGGGTTGAGGACTGAACTCTGGGTGCTTAGTGTTTCACAGGCCTTAAAGTCCATCTTGAGCAACACACACACACCTCAGTAGCTAATGGGCTACAAGCAAAATTTGGGGTCATCCAACCTGGTTCTAACCTGGGCTCTGTCTCGTCATCAGTGTCCTTTCTGGTGAGCCCTGAGTACCTCAGTTCCCTCTTTCACGGGAAAGAAAATACTGCTAGTTAAAGTCACTGACATGAATGAGACCAATGGTGTAATGTGATGAAGATGAGGGTAAAGTCTGGCAGGTTATAATTATTTTTTAAATAAAGATAATTATATTATTATATAATTATACATCATTATTATTTGAGGCAGTCTTATGTAGTCCAGACTGGATTCAAACTTACTATGTAGTTGAGGATGGCTACCATGTTCTGAGTGCTGGGATCACAGTGTGCTGTCAGATACCAAGTCTGGGTAGGTTATTAGTTGTTGTTATTTTTTAAAGCTATTTTAAAATTTTGTTTAATTTTATTTTATATACATTAATGTGAAGGTGTCAGATCCCTTGGAATTAGCATTATAGACAGTTGTGAGCTGCCATGTGGGTGCTGGGAATTGAACCCAGGTTCTTTGGAAGAGCAGACAGTTCTCTTAACCACTGAGCCATCTCTCCAGCCCCATTATTTATTGTTATTTTTATAAAATATTTTAAGCAACGTTCAGTATCCCCACAAGTCTCGTCCGTCTCCCCT